ATTATAATATATATATATATATATATATATATATATATATATATATATATACTAAAAAATTACTCATAAAATCTTTTGATTTTTAATTAGTAGTTTTATATTTAAATTAGTATATATATATATATACTTTTTTAAGAATGTTTCACTTCCATCCCGTCCTATCCAATCCTTTCGGTTATTGGCGAGCCATACGAAAAGAATAAGAATATAAATACGTGAATTCATATTTAATTAAATTTTAATATAAATACAAAATATTGAGTGAAAAATCAAAAAAAAATAAGAAAGATATATATTTGAGAGAATTTTACCAGGGGGTGGGTGTATAACAGCAGGTGGTGGGTGTTGATCAGTTGCCGAATGATCTGGTTTAGAGGAATGAGGTCGCATTGGAATTCCAACATACTCTAGTATTATCATAGAAAATTAAATTAAATCGAGAAAAAAAAAATTTGGTCAGAAAAAAATTTAATTTATATAAATTTGATAAGTAATTTAAATTTATTATTTAAATTCTTCAAATATTAAATAACTTTCTAAATTTTCGATATAAAAAAGTTATTAACTTTTTTTCATTAATTCAATTAAAATATTTATAAAAATAGCACTCAATATTTCTTAGTGAGAAATTATTAAGTTATGCATAAATTTATATTGATATGATATGGTTATAAAATAATAATTTTGATATTTTAAATAGTTAAAGGAGAATCATAAGACCCTGTGTATAGAAAAAAAAAATATATAGTTAATTATTCTCAATTATGAAAGAAGAAAATAGATTTTTATCATAACACATAACTAGTTGAATAATTCAACACTTAATAATTTATTAAATTATAAATATCATAATCAAAAGAATCAAAATTATACATAGCATTTGAGATGGAGAAGTTTACCTGGTGGAATTGCTGGTGAGCTAGCATCATTATAATCATCATCATTATTATTATTATCCTGATTATAATCACCATTATCATCATCAGCCATAATAGCCCTACGTGCTGTAACAAAGAAAATTTATATTATAAATATATAGGTATTTTTTCGTTTTAATTTATATGACTTTGATCTAAAATATGGAGAGCTAGATCAAATTAAAAACTTAGAATAAAATAAATGTTTATATTCAGTGTAAAATTTAATATAATTTCACAAACCACTATCATAGAGATAGAGATATCGTTTCTGATAGACTCTCAATTTAAGGATAAACACTATTGAAAAAGAAATAACAAAATGTAAAGAAGTACTCAAGGAAAAATACTAAAAAAATTATATGATAACTATCAGAACAGTAACTACAACAAAATAATACGATAATCGAAGTATAAGAAACAACAAAAAGTAACAGAAATTGAAGAACGAGAATTAAACTACAGATACAATGCTACGACTACTAGTATGGAAGGATAAGCGATACAACACTCAACTACTTACTAACCTTCTACTTTAATCCACGTCCCTACGCAAAAATGAAATTTACGTATCGAAAGATCATATAAGAATCATGCAATATAAATCAGTTAACAATTCAAAGTATTTTGAGAAAAAAAAATCATGGTTAAAACAAATTTTAAACAAAGATAGTTAGCACAACAATTAATAATAAAATGAATAATAATAATTTAGGGGAAAAACAATTATATTATAGTCTATAGAGTGAAGGGATTACTAAACCTTGTAATAATCTTGTACAGGATGTTGTTGAGGATAAACAAAAAATTAAGAAAAAAATGGCTATGAATAAAAAAGAGAATGTTTTGTGAATCATGGTTTTTAAAATCTACAAGATTGAGATTTTATTTAATCAAATAATATGCTTATTTATTTACCCCTTTATACAATTTTCTTAAAGATTACAATATTGATAGGGAATTTGGAAATGTATGGACAACTATTTATTAGAAAATTCTTATTTTCTTTGCCCAAATTATGTGGCTTGACTTTGAAGTCTTTTGCTAAAAGTTAAAATTTTAATTTATATGTTAAAGTCTCCTCAAATTGATGACTATGATGGCACTAGTCGATATATAGTTATGAATTTATCGTTTGTCTGTTATTAGATATTTTATAGCTAACAATTTTATTTTTATTACATGTTTTTAATTTATCGGTTAATATAATTAGTAATATTTTTTTTTATTGCTCAGAGATAAAAGTTATATGACGCACTAATTTCTATTTTTATTGTTGTGTATTAATGTAACGATCCAAATCAAAAGTCGTGTTGACACCTATGTTCCTATCGATAGGTAAGTCAACTTAATACTTTTACCAATTCAATTCAATATTTATAGTAGAAAGATAAGCAGAAACATAATATCCAATCACTAAGTCATTTACAAGTAGAAAATGCGAAAATCTAAATTACCACCCCGAGATTTAGTTTCATAAGTACATGAACTTCTATAATACGGTAAAAATCCAAACTATGAAAATCTAAACGTAAAAAATATCCTATCAGTATACCAAAATAACCTAATAAATAGAGGTAGATGAAGGTGTGTGCTGAGCAGCGCACCACAACTCTAAGGTAATCCAAACTCATCTTTAAAGCTCCAAGAAATGTATCCGAATTTGAAATCCAATCTGCACCACAAAAGAGTGCAGCAAGTATAGTATGAGCACGAAACTACGTGTATCCAGTATATCGCATAATCGACAACAAAGAATTAACGATAGAAATATATAAAAAAAGAATTCTTTAATTTTTAAGTTCATATTATATTTATCAACCAAGATTTCATCAATAAGAATGGTTTTAATTTCGTATAAATCTCAATCTTACATAAAATAATACTATCATTTGGTTGGTCGCATAGCTAATTATATGTCTCGTTTGGTTGGTATAATATGTATAAAATAATATTTGTATGAAGTTATAGATGAAAAAAATTGTATTTTCTTATGAGATGGGATGTTTATAAGAATTGTGTGTTAGCAAATGAGGGGATTTAAATTAATATTTAAAGACAAATATAATCTTTTGATAATGTTATTTTAGGTTGATAAAATTTGTTATTATGATATAGTGAGTGTAGTACACTTATTAGTGGCACACAGGCTATATATTGGATAATTTATAGAAATCTCATTACTTTAGTCCTTTATGAGATAACTATTTAGATTCATACTAGTTTGCAAAATTATTTATTAGATTTTGTTTTTTGGTTACGTGTATCTGGCCAGTGCATCTAGATATATGATGTCAAAATTAGATATAATTTATTCTTGATAAAATTTATTTCAGTGAATTCACATGTATCTGACTTTCTCACTAGCCTCTCTCGTATCTCGCTCACTACTCTCCTCTCCCACTCACCTCTCTCCTTGTATCTGATATTTCAAATATATATATATAATATATATGAGAATCTTACTTGCCTCTCTCCTTCTCACCCGACTCAGATACATGAGCATAGGGCTTAAACTCGATTAGACATTAAATATTGGTGATTATAATTGCATGCTTGTAGTTATATTACATGGAGCTAATTGTCCATTGGAATAAGTCTAATACTTTTAGGAACTATCATAAATAGCCTTTTATCTCACATAATATAGAAGTCTTTAATAGGAATAATAGGAAGAACGCACGAATTAAATATTTAGAATCACTGTAGCTGGTACAATGTATACGATATTGCAGGAATAATCGAATTTTTTAAATAAGAAAAGAAATTTTACGATTCTCTCGAGGTAAATCATTCATATGGTGGTAATGCCAGATAATTTGAAGGTCAAGTTAGCTAGTTACACCGCAAAACTTAATTATTATCCTGGAACTATATCTCTGAATCTCTGATATGTTGAGACTATGTCCAACAACCAGATTCTTGATTCATAAATTCCCTACTTTAATATATATAAAATGTTTTTATTATATATATATATATATTAAAAAAATACATAACTTAACTCCATTGAAGATCTATCACAGAGATCCAAACATACAAAAGTCCAACTCAAAAAACATATGTAATTAAACTTACGTAAATATAATATAAAGTTCTTGCGCAATATGACCTTTTTTGTTACTCAATCTCTGTTCATGCTCCACGAGCTGCAAACATGTAAAGAAACAATTGTATAAGTAATGGATCTATAATCTTGAAAAAAAATATAAATTATATAAATCGTTACTAAAAATAATTTTTAGATATAATACATAGATAAATTATATAAGTCAGTTGATAAGTAAACACTTTAAATTTTGGTAGTATACGTCTAGACACAATTTGTTAGTGACTCCTTTTGTGCAATGCATATTCAATAAATAAAATAATTTACTTACCAAAAAAAGGGTGTGAGAAATACTTTTCAAAAAAAAAATATAAAAAACACCTTTTAGAAATTTGATCAAATACTAATTGGCCAAAACAAATAGCTCCTCACCAAATTAAAAATGCTTGTTCAAAATAATCATTTCACATAGAAATACGTTTCAAAATAAGTTTATTTTAAAATTTAGGTCAAACAAATTAAATTATATATTTCAGAAGCAATAAAGATTATCATCTCTTATCGATCCTATTATATTTTTTAGAATTTAAAATATATAATTCTTTCAACTCGTCTAAAATTTAATGGATTGAGCCACTAGATATGTCAAACTTATCAATCCGTGAAGTAAACATATATGCACAATAACTTATTGTTTTTTCCTTTAATCTTTGCGTATAATAAATTATACGAAATAAATTAAGATAAATTAAAAAATATATTTTACGTAAAACTTTACCAGGTGACGATATTGAATTTGGGACTTGAATTTTTCGTATCTGCGGATCGATAAAGTAGAGGGAACTACATGGTGGATACGATTCTTCTTGAGATTTATAGCCATTACAATCATAACCTAGAGGACATAAATGTTAGTTGAAATCAATTTAAAGAGCATGTTAATATATTATGTCTTTCGAGAAGCTAATAAAATCATCCAACTTGATTAATTTATATGAAACATATAAAAGAGTAATATTTCAAAATAGATAATCACGTAATATCATAGATCTTATATTCAAACTACTAATTATTATTACAAATACTTTTCATTTCATTTGAACCTTTTAAGTTAGAAGATGAAGTTGTGTTTAATTTTAAATTTTATAAATAATATCTAGCTTGTTTTATTATACTTTTCCTACAAAACAAAAAAATGATTTAAACATGAAATATAATTTAAATCAAGTTATTTAAAAAAATAAAATTCTAGTATAAAATAAGAAACTAATGGTACGAATAAGAAAGTCAGAATTTTTATTAATATAAAAAAAGCCAAATGAAATAAGAACTCAACGAAGGTTTAACATTTTTTATATATACGTAAAAAGTAATAAAGTAAACTATACTTATATAAAAATATAACTTTATACTATAAAATCTCCTCGATTTTATCTAGCTCCGTTTGATTACAATTAAGGGATTAATAATATACCTGTCAATCTTCTAGAAGTTGCTGAGAATAGACAGAGGAGTATGACAAAAAAAGCTAAGAATAATGCTTTGTGATTCATGGAGATCAAATTGGAGCAAAAAGAAATTAATTTTATTATTTTAATATATGAGGTGATTATAAATGTGTGGACCCTTAATTATTGAATGATATTTTATTATAATTTTCTGAACATTTGATTTATAATATTTTAGTCAATCAAAGTCCTCTCAAGTTGATGACTATAATATTTTCAGTCTTGAGTAAGCTTCCTTGGTTAAATTTTTTGAAAAGTGTTTACTTTTGGTGAGAGGTTATAATTGCGTTTGGCTAATAAATTTATAAAATCACTTTTAAGTAATAAATCAATCGAGCTACTAAAATCTCTATATGTTAAAAAATGGAACTTGTGCGCGACTCAAATGATCATTAACCATAATAGCTTAATTATCGTTAAATAAGTACTTTTAAAGGCGATTATTAACTCTTTGTATATGTCCCTAAAGCTTATAGTGACATTTGATCCAATGATAATTAACTTATGTCAATAAAAGTTTTATCTCTCTTTATTAATATGCGTATTTATTGTCATAAAAATTTATTTTCATCATTTCTATTTATTTTTTCTTAGGGCTTGAATTGTATGGACATAAGTCCACTTTTCATTTGCTAAGATTTTTCCAAAGTGGAGAAGTAGATAATATATTTTTATTTATATATAGAATAGTCTCATCAGTCCGTAGATTAGTCTATATGCGCATAAAATGTTCACATCAATTTTAATAATTTATCATGATTAAATAATAAATCAAGGTAATAATATGTACGTAATTGACTATTTGTGAAGATATATGACATAAATTTGTTAGATGATATAAGCAAAATTTCATCTACAAATTTTTTTGTATGGACTTTATATGCCATGATATTAATGAAGTATCCTGAGTTGTAATAACGCGCATATGTTGATGAAAGAAAATATTACAATAAGAATAATTGAATGAAGGGTTTTTCCCTTCCAAGAATAACCTATATGTATATATGGCTACTTTTGTTAGCAAGTCCACTTTAAACTAACTAAAACAAAGAAAAAAAAGAGGATCTAATCGAAAGCTCTGGCGATTCATGGATCTCAAAATGAGTCCAATTGAACACAATGGGTTATGGAACAGTAGTAGAATGATCGTTAAAAGGGGCTAACACTTCGAGCCATCTGCAACATGAACTCAGGTACAAGGCGTTTTCTTGGGGTCGATTTTGCCTTGATGGTTTCAGAGCTATCACCATGAATCAGTGTAATGAGATCATCCAACATATCATCTATTCCACCTCTCATTGGATCCTAAACGTTAGCAAAGCAAGAATAAAACGCGAATAAGGGAATGACTATAATGTGTACAAGACCTTAGCTTTTCGCGATATAAGCAAATGAGGCATCAGTTACCTGAAGAAACAAATCTGTATGTGTCTTTCCTTCATATAGGATACATTCTGCTTTGACACCGAGAGCTTTAAGAGTATCAGCAAAACTCTTGCTGGATTAAGAGAAATACGTATGTTAGCAAACTTTGCAAAAGATGTTTGGATCTACACAGTATATATGCAATAATTGAATGTCAAATATGTCTACTGTTCATCTCATCGATGCATTGTGGAGATCATTTTAAGGGCTACCTTTCCATAATAATACATGCAGCCACTATGTTTAACGATTAATTAACCAGTTTTGCTCTGCTCCATAGTTTATGTATCTAACCTATACAGCTTGTGTCCCTGTGACAGGCTGGCTGCATCCTCAAAATGGAGAATTTATATGCAATCGAAACCATCCATCCTCATTCTTGGTTATATTGGTTAAGCCTATGACTTGCGTTGATGCAATTTTTGCAACGAAAATTCTGATATATGATGGATAGAGGGCCACAGACAAACATGAAAGGTCCCAATGAATTGGATATATAGGGTTCACGGTGGCAGGTAATTGAGGCAACGAGGTGTTCATACAAAAAAAAGTAAGACAGATATTGGACCTCGGGGCCTGAGTTAACCTCAAAAATTAGCTCATGACTCTGACTTCGGTAGTCGGTACATTGATAAGAAATGAATTATGGGCCGAACTCAACCTCAAAAGCTAGCTTAGGAAGCGATGATTGATATAAAAACTCATTCCTCAACCAATGTTGGACACTTAGCAAATATTAAGGGTCTACATGAAATGCTATTAGTAATTACCATTTACTAAGAAAATCTTGAACCAGTCAAATTAATCGAACTAAAATGAATGGCAATAGCCTGAATATCTAGTTCAGATAAAAACTCATTGCAATTTAGTATATCGAGCATACACTCATGGTGAACTTGAAACTGTAACGCATAAAAGTTACTCCTCCCCGTCTCATTTTATGTGTCACCCTTCCGTTTTTAGTCAATACCAAAAAGGATCAAACATTTCTATGTTTAGTAACTGAATGCATGAAGAGGAGGTCCAGACCTGGAATCACACGGAATGGAATAATCTGCGGTACCATGGAAAAGGACCATAGGAGGAAGAAGAGAGACGGCATCTTTTATGTTTGGGTCCTGAGCCATTAATTCTGGTGAGTATTGTCTCAGACCTTGTTCCCCTTCCATTATACTGTGCAAGTACTAAAATCAATATTAGCGATATGTACTGGAAAAATTTAAATAGCCGTATGCATTTGTTAAAGCATTCATGTACCAGAAGTCGGTAATATATATACCTTAGAAAAATTGAACGGTACAAACCTCGGCGATGGAAGTGATCAACAAGCTTAAGGATATTATACCTGCTCATTGTTAAAAAAATGGTGTATTAGTTCAATCAATTCCACTTACCAAAATCAGAAAAGAGTTTCTTCGTAAATCATTTTGCCCGCGACCTTATTAAGCAATGCCTAGCAACAATTGCTAATCATGCTTTGAGCTCAAAGAGAAACAGAAATGGCAGTGCTTGCAAGTAGATGGAAAATCACAAGGAAACATCATGAAATTAGTTTAATGGAATCTAATGAACTTTGGATATCATTCAACAACGATATACCTAGTGTACGCAAACCTTACCCCTACCTCATAGGTTGTTTCCGATAGACAACAAAATCTGGGCTCAGTTCAATTGAAATTCGAACTTCATCTGGGAATTTAAGGTTTTTAGAAGACCTAAAGGAAGAAGTGGCAAAGACTCTAAGCCTTGTAGTCCCAGGGACTTGAACAAGAACTTACCCGCCAGATAGACCAAAATACGTCTTTATTTGGGAGACACTCCAAGAAGCTCTCGGTTCGGCACCAGTCTCCTTGATTGCCTGCTCCAAGAGAGCACATGTAGCAATATGTGCACCAGCGGATTGTCCCATTAAGTAAATTCTAGAAGAAGAATAAACCATGATATATTTCATTCTTAATTAGAGGGAATTATTCATAAGAATGTAAGGAGAAAACAACTCGGCTACCTGTTCGGATCACCTCCATATTCAGCTATCTTGTTACAAACAAAGGAGATACCTTGAGAAGCATCCTTAACCATGTCACTAATTGTTCCTTGAGGAAAATTTCTGCAAGCAATTGATGTAACGCCTTTAGTTATCGAAAACAAACTAGTGGCTACATACAAGTGCAATTTAAGTGTCCAATGAATGATCCAACATATAGTATATGCAACATGAGAGAAACAACGGGAGAAAGTTTGACTTGTAATTTTTCTTCCTCGGTTGCACAAAGCCATACATCACATCTTGGACATCGTTCTTCTCTTAATCCTCTTCAACTTGTTAGATTGACATTTCCCAACCATATTAGCTGGCTTCTTTCGGATGAGTTGGAAGTTATATTGTGAGAAAGATTTTTGTTTTTAGATGCAAGAAAGATTATTTTATGAGGAAAAGAAAACAAGTAAAGCTCTTTAGATGCATCATCACATATACGGTAAACCAACACTCTGCTTTCGCCGTTCTGATATTAGACCAGTTCGTTCTATTGTATCATTTCACAGAACAAGATTGTTGTAGGTTTTGAAAATTACAAGAAAGGTATTAGCGAACATAAAAATTATACCAAGTGTCCAAAAAGCTAATTTTAGTGAATATAAGCAAAATCCTAGTAACATAGAACTTTTTTTTTCTTTTTTCAGATAACGTATCGTGTGGTAAATAAGTTGAAATGCCTAAATCTTTCCTGCGTAAGCAAAAAAACTAATAACTCACACATGTGCAAGAAATAGAGAACATGAATTACAAAACTCATACATCTAAACGATTCATCATGCAAATGTACATTAAGCCCCAAAAAACACTGTATTTCTCAGATGAAATAGTAATTACCTGTAATCAATGCATGCCACAATAATGTCTCTTTCTGACAATTGTTGTCCTAGAAGAGAACCCCAAGCTTTGTAGCTGTAACACAAAGAAGAAAGAATAACTAAGAAAATAATTTTATCAAACCGTCACCGACTTGCTTAAACAAGAGGAGCCACTATTTTAACTATGTGTTGATTAATGATTGCAATGTAAGTGTAAAAGCTTCTACGGTGTAGCCACGTAACATAGTAAGCAGTAGGAATAATAATCCTCAAACATTCATGCTGAAAATCTAATAATAGATCAGATTTTGAATCTTACAATGCAAATGGTTTGAAGAAAATGTAACAGTTTCCATACTTACCAAACAGATAGAAGCTGGCAGATCATATTATATCAGACTAGATTTTATAACATAGGATATTCCTCAGTTTTAAGGATAAATGGATGTAGTTTAAGGAAATGACTTAATTACGCACCCAATGATCCATGCTCCACCTGTTATAAATGCAACAACTGGCTTTGGCCCATTCATATTTTTCGGCAGGTATAGATCAAGCCTGCACCATGAGACTTTAACCAGGTATAAATCCATGAAGACATAGAAAAGTATGCTCAAGCATCCTATGAAAATAAGGATTGAATTCAACAAAGTATACCTATTTCTTGGTTGATCACCATAAACAATCCCTCTACGTACTTGACTGGAATAGAAATAGTAATATCCAACTGCATCAGACAAGCATGATTTATTTATGGGCGTTATATTCTAAAATATGAAGTCAACAAGATATTTAGAGTCAGG